TTCCGCCTCTGCTTCCCAGTTACTTGGATCACAGGCAAGCACCACCAACCCCAACTTGCTCTTTTGAGACAGACAGACACACACACTCCAGCTGAGAAAGCTAAAGGTTAAACGTAGAGGTAGGTGGAGAGAAAACGGCAGATCACATCAACTATGTGAGGGGCAGGGGTGTGGCAGAAACTCTCCTGAATTCAGGATTCTAAAGTGACCTCGAGCAAACACCAGAGACAATCTGGGAAGGAAGAACTCATCTGTCCTAATTATATCAGAGCAATCCACCAGCTACCATTTCTACTTTGCCCTGCAAGAAATCCCGTGCAAGTTCAATTTCCGCTTATTGTTTAGTGTCTCTCAGGCAACCACGAATCTTGGGGCTCTCCTTTGCTCCATTTTTTATCATCTCAAGTCTACCGTCAAAAAATAAATAAATAAATAAATAAATAAATAAATAAATAAATAAATAAATAAATAAATAAATAAATAAAAGGCCCAAAGGCAAAACTTAGCAAAAACTGAATCTTGGTTAGAAGTCCTTTTTATTTGAGACAGGGTCATCTTATGTAGCTGTGGCTAGCTTAGAACTCAGGCTGGTCTCAATTCACAGAGATCCACTTGTCTTGGCCTCTGAAGTGCTGGGATTCAAGTTGTGCACTAACCCATCTATCTGGCAAAGAGAAATATTTCCAATCAATGGAAATACTGGTAAAAAGAGAAATTTGCTAAGTTAATCTCAGTCCTGCAAGGTTTGACAGCAACCCACACTCTGCCAACCTGTCTGCTGGAAGTGACGGGGAACGTCAGGGCGGCTGGCTGAGTCTCTTTCCTCCCCTGGGTGGTGGAAAACAGTCTGCCTGGTCTTCAGCCCCCCCCCCCCCCCCCCCCCCCCCCCCCCGCTTTGCCGCCAGCACATGCAACAGCTAACTGGAGAGCGGTTCTGTGTATGTGCAGACTGCAAAGCTGCTCCGGTAGGGATAGTTACTGACTCATCCTCCAGGCTGGTGCCCTATGATTCAGTGGCCTCTCCACACTCCTCCCTCCACAGCAGTGCGTGATGCAGCTGCAGACTTGGGCAGCCCCTATTTGGTGTCAGGAAGAGCACGAGAGAGCACGTTGCCAGCTCGCTCCTTCTTTCTGTTCCCCAAGTATAAGTTATAGAATACATACTTTGGGAGCTGAGGCTGGGGGGCGGGGCGGACGGACAGACGGACGACCGCACTCATTCCTCTTCAAAGAACAAGCAGTCACAGAACAAGGCGTGGCTCTCTCCAGCAGCCCAGCCTTTAAAACCTCCCATGGCATCATTTATCTGCCACATGTTCACAAACAACCCTACCCCCCCCAACAAATATTCATATTAATGCAGATTCACAGTTAAAATGGCTCCAGATTAAAGCCGAGTCAGTCATAATTGAGAGGGTGCTAAGCTGGATGACTATCAAAAGACATTTGATTAGGGGCCTGCCAAAACGCAGTTCTAAAACCACAATTTCCATGCACAGTGTAATGGATATTATGGATAATTACCCAGAGTGCACTACTCAGCCACACAGCTGCCTACAATTACATCCCCAACAGCTTCCTCCTCTGCTTCACCCTTTAAGCTCCCCCGTGACAAGTTCTTACAGCTTTCCCCGGGAGCTGGTGGTATCTTCCTGACATTAACAAGGACAGGGCTGTCACAGTTACACAAGGAACAGAAGAGGAAAAAGTCAAGCACTGTGCAGGCCAAGGCTCAGTGCGCCAAAGATTTCAAAGGGCCCGGCATTAAGGAGCACGGGGATGCCAGAGACCTCAAGGTAGGGTGTAAAACGCAGTTCCTAAAGAAACAATGTTGGAAGTGGTGGGGCGGCTCAGTGGGCGGAGGCATGTGCTTCCCAGGATTGGATCTTCTGGACCCACATGGGAGAGAGAATTCACTCCTGTAGGCTGTCTTCTGATGCAGCACATGCAAACTTGGATGTGCCGCCCAACAATAAAAACAATAATAATATAATAATAATTATTATTATTTTAAAAATGCTGCTCAATCAACAGAGAGGCTCAGGGCTGCCATGGCTTCCCATGTGTGACTTGGAGCCGCTTGGCATTTATGAGCACTCTGGGTTAATATCAGTTCCTTCATTAAGTAAGAAAGCAGGGGCCCTCTGCCATCTGTTCATCATTTTCCGTACCGCTGGTAGGAGAGCGGCAGATTCAATAACAGCCTTACAGAGGCTCATAACCAGGTTTACCTGCAGCTGGACAGCCTGTGCTCAGGCCCGAGGCGGTGGCAATCAAGCCATAAAAGCTCCTGTTTGTGGACTGAGATGAATCAATAGGGCTGCCCACAAGACAAGCTTACCTTCACTTCCCCAAGCCTGGGTGAGTCAAGGTACCATCTCATCACCAAGCCTCACATAAGCCAGGCCGCATCATTAGGAAAGCAGTGACCCCCGCACCCCCAGCACAAATGGAGCTCAGCTTCCATCTCTACACAACCGAGCCCAATCGGAGGCTGTGTGTAGTGCTCCATGTTGACAGCCTTTCGGTGAACAGGAGACAGGGAATGCTGTAGACATTTGTGTATGTACACGAGTGTGTATGTGGCCTTATGTTCACATTGGAGGCCAGGCTGCGTGTCTTCCTTGACTGTTTTCTACTATCTGAGATCAAGCCTCTCTCTAAACCTGGAACTCATCCATTTGATTAGGCTGGACAGCCAGCCAATGAGCTCCAGGGATCTGCCCGTCTTTTCTCGCGGGATGCTGGGATTACAGATGTGTGGCGCCGAGCCTGGATTTCACATGGGTGTTGGGGATACACAACGGAATCTCCATTCTTACGTGGCAGGCGCTCTGCTGGCTGAACCTTCTCCCTAGCCCCAGGAATGTATGTTTTATACTACTTTAAATGAAGCCTGCCTTATTTTACCAATGCAGGACACCCCAAGATTTTATTCCATCCCCCCCCCCATCCTATATCTCAACTTTCAGACCATGTCCTTCTTCCATCCAAACATAGTGTCAGGTTGTTGCCTTCTGCTGCCAACTCTGCAGTCCTTAATGGAATGCTTCCCCAGAGGGCTGTTCCCATTTCTACTGTACCAACTCAGGGGCAGCGTTTGCCTAACCACGCACTATTAAAGAAGCGCATGCCAGCCAGTGAGTGTGTGTATGTGTTTGTATCTTTTCCAACTACAATTTTTTAAACCCTAAACCAAACAGAAATGAAGATGACTCCCTTTGGCATGGGATATACTAATAACCTGGTTTAATTCTCTATGTTGTATGTTCAGGTCCTATGGGTGTATCTTCCTCAGTGAAGACAAGGCCGTGGGGTTCTGCCTTAGGTTTTTCTGTTGTTAGCTCTGGTAACAATGTATCCTTTTCTGAGGGGGCCTCAATAGAGAAATTGCCTCCGTAAAATTGGGCCGACAAGCAAGCCTGTAGAGCAGCAGTTCTCAACCTGTGGGTCATGACCCCTTTGGGAGGGGTGTTGGACGACCCTCTCTCAGTGGTCGCCTTAAACGATCTGCATATCTGATCTGATTGGTAGACCAACTATCAGATATTTACGTTACGATTCATAACATTAGCAAAATTAGTTAGGAAGTAGCGATGAAAATAATTTTATGGTTAGGGGTCACCATAACACCAGGAACTGCATTAAGGGGTTGCAGCATTAGGGAGGTTGAGAACCACTGCTGTAGAGTATTTTCCTAATTAGTGATTGGCATGAGAGGGCCCAGTTCCACTGTGGGTGGGGGGAAACCCCTGGGCTGGTTGATGGTCCTGGGTCCCATAAGAAAGCAGGCTGAGCAAGCCAGTAAGCAGCACTTCCCCGTGGCCTGTGTGTCAGCTCCTGCCTCCAGGTTCCTGCCTTGACTCCCTGGATGATGAATAATGATGTGGAAGCAAAAGCCAAACAAATAAACAACATCCCATAAAATCAAAACAAAGCCAAACAACAAAAAAATTTCCTCCCAAGTTGCTTTGGTCACGGTGTTTTATCACAGCAACACAGCAATAGTAATCCTAACAACTGTGACAACCAGGATCCTACATAACATACTTAAAAAGGAAAAGAAGCCGGGCGGTGGTGGCGCACGCCTTTAATCCCAGCACTTGGGAGGCAGAGCCAGGCGGATCTCTGTGAGTTCGAGGCCAGCCTGGGCTACCAAGTTA